TATTCCACTTCTTTTCCAGCAATTGAGTACTCGATCAACATTTTTGACAAGTCTCTCTTCTACGATCTTTACTATCAAAAAAGTACTGGAACAAAGCTTATATATTAACAAGTAAAAAAGCTGTAAATTCGGCCGGGGCGAACTTTGAATATCGGGAGGTACCGCGAATTTCGGGAGGTACCGTTACATGGGGGCTATACGAAGACATGGACCGGCAATTTTCTGTCTTAGGCTGCAGTATCCATTACGAACCTCAAATAACAAATTTGAAACAATTCCGATGAAAGTGTCGCTAAAATCATCAAAATACCGAATATCGGGAGATACCGCTATATAGGGGCTATACGAAGACGTGAACCTGCACAGACAATTTTCTGTCTTGTGCTGTAGTATCTATTTCGAACTTCAAATGCGAAATTTTAAACAATTCCGGTAAATAATGTCGCTAAAATCATCAAAATGCCGAATATCGGGAGGTACCGTTATGTGGGGGCTATATGAAAACGTGGACCTACATGGCCCATTCAAGAACTTAACCTGCCTACTGGAAAAATAAATATGTGCGCAAAATTTTAGCCATCTATCTCAATTCATTCGAAAAATAGCGTGATTACAACAGACAGAGACACATTTTATTAAAGTTTTTCGCATATTACAATTTTATTTTTATTTTTGTAAATTTTGGAACAATTCATTTTGCAACATATCTGTAAGTTGTAACGCGGGGGCGAATGAGAGTTTTTAATGTTAATTCTTCTTATTTTGATTTGACATTTCGTCACAATTTTATACCCTCCACCATAGTATGGAGGGTATATAAAGTTTGTCATTCCGTTTGTAACACCTCGTAATATACATTTTAGACCCCACAAAGTATATATATTCTTGATCAGCATAAAATTCTAAGTCGATTTATCAATGTCCGTCCATCTGTGGAAATCACTCTAGCTTCCGAACGAAATGAAGTAGGTTGATAAAATTTTACTCAAATATGTACTATGTCTGCAGGACTTTTGGTATTGAAAATGGTACATGTAGGTCCACGTCTTCGTCTAGCCCCCATATAACGGTACCTCCCGATATGCGGTATTTTGATGATTTTAGCGACATTATTTTCGGGAACTATTTCAAATTTGGTTTTGAAGTTCGTAATGAATACTATAGCCTATGACATAAAATTGTCTGTGCAGGTTCACGTTCTCGTATAGCCCTGATATAACGGTGCCTCCCCATATTCAGTATTTTGATGATTTTAGCAACATTATTTACCGGAATTGTTTAAAATTTCGCATTTGAAGTTCGTAATGGATATTACAGCCTATGACAGAAAATTGTCCGTGCAGATCCACGTTTTATAACCACCATGGTACCTCCGGTATTTTGATGATTTTAGCTACATTATAAACAGATATTTTTTTCAAGTTTCGCATTTGAATATTGTAATAGCTTGTGACAAAAGTTGCCTATGCATGTTCACGTTGTCGTATAGACTCTAATATACGGCTACATTAGGTATTTTAAAGATTTTAACAGAATTTTTAACGGTTTTTTTGAAAATTGTTAAATTTGTACCAAATGGTGGAGGGTATTCAAAGAACTTACAGCTTTTTCACTTGTTTGATTTACAAAGGTTTGCAAGATCTTATTAGAAACGATCTTATTGGAAAAAGTTTACTCAGTAAAGATTAAACATTAACATTAGCTGATTGACAAACCGCTGCTTTTTGTATAATGTATTTTTTTTTAAATAATAAACACTCAACGTAGTATTATACTTCTAAAGGACTAATTTGCACTATAAAAATTGTTGCTTTGATTTGTTTACAGTTTAAAACTAACACATACATCTTCCGAAACAGTTATTTTCTTACTAGATTTTACTGAATGTTGTTATATATCTTTTTGCAAAACTTGAGCGTGAAAGGAAATATTATCTCGGAAAAGGATTTTATTTTTACCATAATATATTTCTTATATACCTTATATTGATCCCCGACATATATTAAAATATATGAATATATAAAATTTTCTTTGCAATCCTCTGAATGTCTGTGCTCTATTTATTTTCTTCTGCTTTTATTTGCATAACAAGTAAAAAAAGTTAGAAAGTGATCGGGCAAAACTTTTGATACCCTCCGCCATGAGTAAACAGTAAATTAAACAATCGGGATCCAATATTCAAAAGAGTTCCACTTTAAACTGAAAATACAAATGACAAAGACCTAAAATGGTAAAGACTGGACAAAATGCATTCTGAGCAAATGGTTGGTGTCTATACTATCTAGATAACAGCTCATGGCAGGACAATGTTAATATAAACAAGTAAAAAAGCTGTAAGTTCGGCCGGGCCGAACTTTTAATACCACCACCATTTGGTACAAAATTTGGCAATTTCCAAAAAAAAACAAAAAAAAAAAAAAAAAAAAAAAAAAATAATAATAATAAAATTCGTTAAAAATTCTTTTAAAATATTAAAAATACCGAGTACATATACGACGACATGGACCTGCATAGGCAACTTTTGTCATAAGTTATCACAATATTTAAATGCGAAACTTGAAGCTATATCTGTTTTACAATTTAGCTAAAATCATCAAAATACCGAATATAGTGGGTACCTTTATATGGGGGCTATACGAAGACGTGGACCTGCACAGACAATTTTCTGGCATGGGCTGAAGTATCACTTACGAACTTCACATGCGAAATTTGAAACATTCCCGGTAAATAATGTCGCTAAAATCATCAAAATACCGATTAGGGGGAGGGGGGTAGGGTACGGGTAATGGGGGCTATACGAAGACGTGGACCTACATGGTCCATTTTCTGTTTTATGCTGCAGTATCTATTACAAACTTCAAATACCAAATTTGGAATGATTCCGTTAAATAATGTCGCTAAAATCATCAAAATACCGAATATCGGGGAGTACCGTTATATGGGGGCTATACGAAGACGTGGACCTGCACAGATAATTTTCTGTCCTAGGCGGTAGTATCCATTACAAACTTCAAATGTCAAATTTCAAACAATTTCGTTAAATAATGTCGCTAAAATCATCAAAATACCGAATATCGGGAGGTACTGTTATATGGTGCTATATGATAACTTGGTCCTACATGGCCCATTTACGAACTTAACCTGCCTACTGGCAAAATATACACGTCTGCAAAAATTTAGTCTTCTATCTCAATTTGTTCGAAAGATAGCGTGATTACAACAGACGGACAGACAAACAGACAGACACATAGACAGACAGACGGACATGGCTAAATCGTCTTAGAATTTTACGCTGATCAAGAATACTTTTTTGGGTCTGACATGAGTATTTCGAGGAGTTACAAACGGAATGACAAAATTAATATACCCTCCATAGTATTGTGGAAAAAAAAACATTGAGTTCGGCCGGGCCAAACTTTTAATACCCTCCACCTTAGGGTAAAGGAAACAATGTGGCCAAAAACCATTAAAATGCCGAATATCGGGAGGTACCGTTATATGGGGGCTATACCAAATCGTGGACCTACACATGCAAGGTTTCGCCACACGAACTAGGACCCATTATGACCTACAAGTACCAATTTTCAGACAAATCCGTGAAAAAAATGTGGCAAAAATCATCAAATTACCGAATATCGGGAGGTACCGTTATATGGGGGCTATACCAAAACGTGGACCTATAATTACAATGACTCGCCACACGAACTGGGACCCATTATGATCTACAACTACCAACTTTTCAGAGAAATTCGTGAAAAAAATGTGTCAAAAATCATCAAAATACCGAATATTGGGAGGTACCGTTATATGGGGACTATACCAAAACGTGGACCTATGCACAAAATGTTTCGCCACACTAACTAGGACCCATTATGACTCACAAATACCAATTTTTAGACAAATCAGTGAAAAAATGTGGCAAAAACCATCAAAATACCTAATATCGGGAAGTACCGTTATATGGGGGCTATACCAAATCATGGACCCATACATGCAATGTTTCGCCACCGGAGCAAGAACCCACTATGATCAACAAATACCAATTTTTAGACAAATCCATACAAAGTGGTGCAAAAATCATCAAAATGCCGAATATCGGGAGGTACCATTATGACCTACATGTACCAATTTTCAGACAAATCCGTTAAAAAAAATGTGGCAAAAATCATCAAAATACCGAATACCGGGAGGTACCGTTATATGGGGCTATACCAAAGCGTGAACCTATCCATACATTGTTTCGCCACATGAACTAGGACCCATTATGACCTACAAGTACCAATTTTCAGACAAATCCGTGAAAAAATGTGGCAAAAATCATCAAAATACCGAATACCGGGAGGTTCCGTTATATGGGGATTATACCAAAACATGGACCGATATAACTCATGTTCAATACCAACCATCCTAGACACAATACAAATTATTCTGCTAAATTTTGGCGCTCTACGTCAAATAATGTGGGCTATATCGTGATTTCAACAGACAGACGGACAGACAGACAGACGGACATCGTTAAATCGACTTAGAATTTTATGCTGATTATGAATATATATACTTTATGGGGCCTACGACGAATATTTAAGGATGTTACAAACGGAATGATAAAGTTAATATACCCTCCTTTCCAAGGTGGAGGGTATAATGACAAACAAAAGTTTGAAAAATTCAAAAATTGGGTTTCAAAATTATATTCTATAGACTTTCCCAATTATTGCATATTGCCTAAGCGGTTTTAATCGCTTAACATTGCTAACTATGTTGTTACGATATCATAACAACAGTAGTATTTTTACAGGGTTGTCATATCTTGACTCTGGCTCGTCCCATCTTTATACTTCTATGTCTTTGCAAATGAAATCGTTAGAGATATCAGTTAAAGTCTTCAAACACGATACAGTACGGTATCGACATTAGGGCGCTATATAAGAGGAACCAACATAGGCAAATTTCGGCACAGAGGTTATCCTTTTAGAGTTTCAAATACAAAAACAAAACAATTCGGTGGGACTATCGACGCCAAAACTTTTAATGCGTGTACATAGAAGCTATTATACAAATTTTCGAAGCTCTTTATCAAATCGATTTACATTTTATGCTGATGACGGATTTATGCATTTTATGGGGTCTGCGCCGAAACGGATTGACAAATTTAGTATACCGTCATCTCAATGGTGAAGGACATAAAGAAGGTATTACATGTTTAAAATTGCAATTCGACAAGGCTAATCGGGTAGGGTTTTTTCCACTTGTATGCTTTGATTTGTTCGCCATATTTTCCAACACATATTTTCATTATCTGTAATAAAATTATTATAATTAGGATCTTTAAATACTCGAAAAAATAAGCTTACCACACATTTACTCCGTTTCTTACATACACGGTTATTACAATCGAATCTTATTGGATGTTTGAGCTTCGATGCCATTTTCAAATTAGATCGAATAATACTGGTGGATGTTGGCGTACCCAATCGTAAAATCTAATAAAAAAAAAATTGTGTTTATAAATTTTCCATGCTTTTCAATAACTTCATATTTTTCAACAACTATTTAAATATAGATAAATGAGCAGAACAGCAGTCTTAAACCTGATGGATTTGCAACAACCAAACACAGGTGCTGAATTCTTGTTTTGTAAAAATCTGAAAAAATTAATTAAGGCGACAATAGTCAAATGAAATGTTCAATAATACGACCCAAGCGTTTATCAACCAACATGGTAATGGAAATTTTGCACAAATCATTTGTTTGGCCCAAGGATATAGCTCCAATATATATCTTCATCCGATTTGCGTTTTATTGTGCACCAAACGTGTAATATTAGCAAAAATGATATGGAATTTCCCATTTACGACCTATTTGAGTCTGGAAGTTAGTATGTCAAATTTAAAGAAGATCGGTTCAGATATAGCAATGGCTCACATATATATTGTTCATCCGATTTGATATATTTGTTCCCCACCGCCATAATATGCACTCCGTAACAACGATATTCAGGAAAATATATCAAATAAAACCCAGAAATATATTTGCCAAATTTTACCGAGATCGATTCAGATTTGGATATAGCTCCCATATATCTTTATTCGATTTCAAGTTATTTGTGCACCAAATGGGAAATACAAGCCTCAATTAAAAAGATACAAATTCTTAGGCATGTATAGTCTTTTGACTTTATTATTATACTCATAGCTTGTATGATTTAATTATCCCATAAAAAGTTTTAATAGTTATGTGAAGCTAAAATCTTAAATCTTCGCACATCATTATGAAGGTGGGGATATTTGTTATATTATTTGGTAAAGAAATCTACAACAATGGACTACGTAATCCTAATGGTTTTGATGAGTAGAATAAGCGTAATATTTGACTGACTTTATTTAGCTTAAAGTACACGGACATACAAAGAATGATACATAAATGTGGTATGAATGATAGACCTGATTCTACTTAAGGCATTAAGAGACGGAATGTGTTGTACATATACGCTGTTAATTATGTTATCAATATGTTTTTCCGTGTGTATGTCAAAATTGCCATTTTACATATGACTCACAATTTTAATATCACACACATGCAGATGTTTTTATACCCTCCACCATACTATGGAGGGTATATTCATTTTATCATTCCGTTTGTAACTCATCGAAATAATGATCTTAGACCCAACAAAGTATATATATTCTTAATCAGCGTAAAATTCTAAGTCGATTTAGCGATGTCCGCCTGTCTGTCTTTCGAATGAATTGAGATAGATGGCTAAAATTTTGCACACATGTTTACTTTCCAGTAGGCAGGTTAAGTTCGTAAATGGGCCATGTAGGTCCACGTTTTCATATAGCCCCCATATAACGGTACCTCCCTATATTCGGTATTTTGATGATTTTAGCGACATCATTCACGGCAATTGTTTCAAATTTGGTATTTGAAGTTCAAAAGGGTACTACACCCTAAGACAGAAAATTGTCTGTGCAGATCCACGTCTTCATATAGCCCCCATATAACGGTACCTCCCTATATTCGGTATTTTGATGATTTTAGCGACATTATTCAACGGAATTGTTTCAAAATTGATGTTTGAAGTTCGTTATGGGAACTACAATCTGTGACAGAAAATTGTCTGTGCGGGTCCAGGTCTTCGTATAGGCCCCATATATCAGTACCTCCCTATATTTGGTATTTTGACGATTTTAGGTACAATACCCACCGAAATTGTTTGAAATATGGTATTTGAAGTTCGTAATGGATGCTAAAGCCTGTGACAGAAAATTGTCTATGCTGGTCCAGGTCTTCGCACAGCTCCAATTTAACGGCACCTCCTTATATACGATATTTTGATGATTTTAGCTACATTATTCAACGTTTATTTCAAGTTTCGAATTTGAATATGGTAGTGGCTTATGACAAACAATGCCTATGTATGTCCACGTCGTATAGACCCCAATATAACGGCTATATTCGGTATTTTTAAAATTTTAACAGAATTTTTTAAGGATTTTATTTTTTAACAAGTAAAAAAGCAGTAAGTTCGGCCGGGCCGAACCTTGAATACCCTCCACCATTTGGAACGAATTAGAAAATTTTCAAAAAAATAAAATCCAATAAAAATTCTTTTAAAATCTTTAAAATATCTAATATAGGAAGGTGCCGATATATGGGGAGATATACGATATTTTGGACCTATAAAGACAAATCTATGTCTGCGTGTAAAGTACTCACAAGGAACTCCGTGTGTGGATTTTCAGACAATACGATTGGAAAATTTGGCTAAAATCATCAAAATACCGAATATCGCGTGGTACCGTTATATGGGAGCTATACGTTATCGTTAACCTATATAGAGAATTCTCTGTCGGTGGGTAAAGTGCTCACAAAGAACCCCTTGTGTACAAAGAACCCCTTGTGACCATTCCATTGAAAAATATGGCTAAAATCATCAAAATACCGAATATCGGGGGGTACCGTTACATGGGGGCTATACGATATCGTGGACCTATATGAACAATTCTCTGCCGAGGTATAAAGTACCCACAAGGAACTCCTTGTGTGGATTTTCAGACAAGTCCGTTGAAAAATGTGGGTAAAATCAGCAAAATACCGAATATCGGGGGGTACCGCTATATGGGGGCTATACGATATTGTGGACCTATATAGATAATTCTCTGCCGAGGTATAAAGAACCCAGAAGGAACTCCTTGTGTGGATTTTCAGACAATTCCGTTCAAAAATGTGGGTAAAATCATCAAAATACCGAATATCGGGGGGTACCGTTATATGGGGGCTATACGATATTATGGACCTATATTGATAATTCTCTGCCGAGGTATAAAGTACCCACAAGGAACTCCTTGTGTGGATTTCAGACAATTCCGTTGAAAAATGTAGGTAAAATCATCAAAATACCGAATAGCGGGGGGTACCGTTACATGGGGGCTATACGATATCGTGGACCTATATGGACAATTCTCTACCGAGGTATAAAGTACCCACAAGGAACTCCTTGTGTGGATTTTCAGACAATTCCGTTCAAAAATGTGGGTAAAATCTTCAAAATACCGAATTTCGGGGGGTACCGTTATATGGGGGCTATACGATATCGTGGACCTACATTGATAATTCTCTGCCGAGGTATAAAGTACCCACAAGGAACTCCTTGTGTGGATTTTCAGACAATTCCGTTGAAAAATGTTTGTAAAATCATCAAAATACCGAATATCGGGGGGTACCGTTACATGGGGGCTATACGATATCGTGGACCTATATGAACAATTCTCTGCCGAGGTATAAAGTACCCACAAGGAACTCCTTGTGTGGATTTTCAGACAATTCCGTTGAAAAATGTGGGTAAAATCAGCAAAATACCGAATATCGGGGGGTACCGTTATATGGGGGCTATACGATATTGTGGACCTATATTGATAATTCTCTGCCGAGGTATAAAGTACCCACAAGGAACTCCATGTGTGGATTTTCAGACAATTCCGTTCAAAAATGTGGGTAAAATCATCAAAATAGCGAATATCGGGGGGTACCGTTATATGGGGGCTATACGATATCGTGGACCTATATTGATAATTCTCTGCCGAGGTATAAAGTACCCACAAGGAACTCCTTGTGTGGATTTTCAGACAATTCCGTTGAAAAATGTGGGTAAAATCATCAAAATACCGAATATCGGGGGGTACCGTTACATGGGGGCTATACGATATCGTATACCTATATGAACAATTCTCTGCCGAGGTATAAAGTACCCACAAGGAACTCCTTGTGTGGATTTTCAGACAATTCCGTTGAAAAATGTGGGTAAAATCAGCAAAATACCGAATATCGGGGGGTACCGTTATATGGGGGCTATACGATATTGTGGACCTATATTGATAATTCTCTGCCGAGGCATAAAGTACCCACAAGGAACTCCATGTGTGGATTTTCAGACAATTCCGTTCAAAAATGTGGGTAAAATCATCAAAATACCGAATATCGGGGGGTACCGTTATATGGGGGCTATACGATATCGTGGACCTATATGGACAATTCTCTACCGAGGTATAAAGTACCCACATGGAACTCCTTGTGTGGATTTTCAGACAATTCCGTTGAAAAATGTGGGTAAAATCATCAAAATACCGAATATCGCGGGGTACCGTTATATGGGGGCTATACGATATCGTGGACCGATATATCCCATCTTCGAACTTGACCTGCCTGCAGACAAAAGAGAGATCTGTGCAAAATTTTAGCTTCCTATCTTAATTCGTTTAGACTGTAGCGTGATTACAACAGACGGACAGACGGACGGACAGGGCTAAATCGTCTTAGAATTTTACGCTGATCAAGAATATATATACTTTGTTGGGTCTAAAATGATTATTTCGATGAGTTACAAACGGAATGACAAACTTAATATACCCTCCATGCCTTTTTTGGTGGAGGGTATAAAAATTACCAAATTCGTTGCAAATTGTGGAGGGTATTAAACTGCTTTTTAACTTTAACTTGTCGATAAAGAAAATGTGGAATTATTAGGTTTCAAAATAACAATAATAATTTTAAAATACTTTGTAGAGTAAGTGTAACCGTTGTTGTTGTATATTGTTGACCTGTTATATTTATTTTACTTATTTGGTTAATTGCTTGGCTTAAGGTCACTAAAAAATAGGTTTTTTATTTTTGAATTTGTCCTATTTTATTCATCCAATATTTCGATTTTCTCCGGAAATCATCTTCAATGATATGTTTTACAGAAATACACAAATTACAAACTGAATTTAACAATATATAACACAATAAATAACATAATATGTGTCATAATTTTCTTTCGATCTCTAAGTGGAATGGTTCGTCACTTATATTGAAAATTCTGTGATAAAATTAGTCGCTGTGTTTATTTTTCTTCTAATCAATCGTCCTGACGCCATTGGTTTTTGGTACCAATCTAATTTAAGTTTTCTGCCTTGTCTGATTATTATTGCGTCCAAAT